TCGAGTTGCAACCAGAGTCATGGAACGGATTAAGTTCGTAACTAGAGGTACCACTGTATAACAGTTTGGGGAAATATATGTAAATAAGTAGAGTTAAGGGTGTCATTATAAAACTATGCACTATGTATAGCTAAGGCTACCATAACTGGGCTGCAAAAATCCAATAACAACCCATCAGGAGCAAAGAGCTAGGCTTTTCTGGGTCTCTGTATTGCCACCTAGTGGTCATTTGGATTTCTGCACCCTAGATATGGTAGCCCCACATATAGCATGATTTGGAGGACTTCACCCTCTGAGAATGTCATTTCCTTCATATTTTGATGTTTCCAAAGAAATGTATAGGTATGAAGAACCTTTCAATTTTGAGGTATACAAATGGGTACAACTAGAGATAACTTGGATATCTTGATGGATCCCTTTTGATTTAAATATATTACCTAGAAATCTTACTTTGAGTTAGTATCTGATCAGAAATTCCCTTTAATTTATTCTAAATGGATATGATATAAAAACAGTAGGAAAAAATGAGTAGGCAGGAGGCAAGGAATTTCAAAAATTTAGCTTAGAGGCAGGATTGCTTATAGACTATGAACATTGCCCAAGTGGAAAACTAAATCATATTTTTTCATTTCAAAATCAAGACGATAATTATTTTTAGGGAAAGCCTGGCTTAACTAGCCCATCTGTAGCAAACATTTGGAGCAGGCAAGATTTGCATTGTGAGAATGGATTTTCTTTGGCCTAAAGAAAATCACATTTAGTTGGATCAATTTCTCTTGATTCTATAATTAACAGCAAATGTAACCCAACTCCATGTACCAATTCCAGGATTAGAAAATAGTATGTATTTTGGTTTTGTTCTTTCTTTCTTTTCCGTGCCAAGTCTACTTTACTTTTTTGTTCTGAAAACATTTCCTCTCCTTTTAGAGAGAGATAAACATGTTTTGCCTTGCTGGTTGGGAGCGTACACTTCCAGCTTTTGATTTGAAGCCCTGCCTCTGAAAAGGGCTTCAGGTTCAGTTGGCAGCTGGGCCTTGAAGACTGTGCTGGTAACAGCACAACTCTCGGTCACACTGACAGACTGAAACTCTTCAGGTTTCTTCTTCTGTCTGCTTGTGCAAGTCACAATACCTCACGCAGATTAAAAGAAAATTAAGGACAAACTAAAGAAGCCAGGAAAACGGTCTTCTTTCACAAAAAGAATACTCCCTGCACTAGAGTCCCAAACTCACACATACTATTGCAATATGGCAGAAATGCCCAGAGAGCTTTAATTACTGAATTATATCAACATCTAATTGATAAATAAACAAATGAACAATAGATAGACAGCAGATCTGCTGCTTTCTCCCCATGGTAGTAGCGAACTTCTAATTTTCTGGTACTGGCTATCACTATAAAACTATGAATTTTCTTTCTGTTCTATATCCTGGGCTGCACTAACCTCTTTGACTGGAAAAGTAGAATAGAAAGGACCAGATGTTGAAAAAGGTCTTCATACCCATGGAAAAGGATGGGGAAGATAGGCTGGGCCTGCCTGCATAATATGGAAATATTGCTAGATAAATTGTCAACCATAAAGCTCAGCACACCACAAGCTGTTTCCCTGCCGATGATAGTTTATTAGCCACTGCAAGTATGCAGAGACTTACTTAATGACATTTGGGATGTGCAGAGTGAATTCATTATCCGCCTACAGCGCTTTTGCATTCTATCACTCTCTCATGAGCAACTCGTAACCATGCTACTGAGTGCAGCTCCCCATTTTCAGCAAGGGAAAAGACTTGCATTTGAAAGGCGGGGGGAACACACATATTCAGAACATAGTCCAGACCGTAGTGTTGGCTCAGGTTTCCTGAGGCTGTTGCTCCAGGCCAGCTGCATAGCCCAGATTTAGCAGAAATAACAACACTACTGTTCTAACTCAATTGCCTCAAGTGAAGACTATTAACTTAGGCTACACTTGCTTTATCAGACCTTAACGTTAACATTACAAAATCCAGATGTTGTGCCAAATAACACAAAGGAAACTATGCTTAACAAGCCCAGCTGCTGCTTATCTGACTGCTAATCAGCAACCCTGCGGATCTGGGATCCTGAAGGAAGGAAGTAGCTACCTTTCAGCATGAAGTTCCTTCCCTCTGCTGCAGACTATTCCAGTATGTTCAGTGCACTTCTCTGTCAGCTTTGGGGACAAGAAGGACCTGGTTTTTCTCCTACAGAATAACCACCACACCAGTGAAAGGGTTCATAAGAAGCATTTTCACAAATGCTACAAATGACTGCATAAGAAGTGCCAATCCTTGATTATGTGTCTTCACGCTGCTGTCAATTCTTAGCAAAAACATTGATAAGATTTTCTCCAGGATAATATGTCCACAACCAGGCTCTTCAGGTCTTCCACCAAGGCACCCACAGACTCCCTGTCTATCCTTGTTGGTGTCATCCTCTATTTCTTTGTTCTTCCACCTTTCCCAGCATTACAGATTTCTGAAAAGAGCAGGATCTTCACATAATGTGTCCAAAATATGATAATATGAGACTTGTCATTTATGCCTTAAGTGAGAACTCTGATAAATCCATTAGTTTGTTTTCTTGGCTATTCATAGTATACTCAGGGGTCTTCTCCAATACCAAAGTTCAAAAGTGTCAATATTCTTTCTATTCTGCTTCTTCAAAGTTCAACTTTTGCTTTCATAGAATTTCACAGGGAAACCATCACCTGTACAATTCAGATTTTTGTAGGTATAAACACATCACAGCATCTGAATATCTTTTCCAAGACCTTCACTGGACTCAGAACCTAAGGAAAGTCAAGTCTGCTGGATGGAATACCTCCAAGGAATACCAGCAACGTAGACTAGACTGGGAAGTAAAAAATAACCTATTACGGAAAACATCAATGACAACCCATTTCCATATTGCTGCCTTGAAAACTCTAGGGACATGTCCATGAAATCATCAGGAATCAAGCTTATGTTGAAGAAGTTGCCTTTTTAATAAATGGGTGGAGGAATATAGTACAGCTTTTCACCTAGGACCTGCATGCAAAGTCCATCTGATTCCTTTCCCATGAGCTCCTGATTACAGAAGAACAGGTCAAGTGCCTGTTTCTGAAATACACTGTTGTAGAAAGAGCCCTCCTATCTACAAGGGCTTACCTCACAGCCTGCTGCCCTGTCCCGGCTACATTACAGACAAGGAGCAGGATTCTGCCACTTCCACCATGGTGCAGGAACTCTGATGAAATGGCCCCATTACGAACCAAACGCTGCCCTTCTGGCTCAGCAGAATTGGGAGAAGATGGGAGACTCTGTGGACAACCTGAAAAAGTGGAAAAATATTTACACATGCTCCAAACCTGGCTTAAATACGACTATGAAACTTCCAAAGAAATATAGGTCAACATCACAAAAACTGGCTGTACCAGATAGGCCAATTTATTAATATGGATAAATCAGATCAAGAGACCTTTCCCCCATGTTAAAATCTATTGCTTGTCACCTCTATTCATTGCTTTGTTTTCATAGAAAATGTTATATCCATTTTTCTGATGGAGTAGGGGAAAAAAGTGAAAATGGGATCTGGAAATAGACCAGCCAATTAGTTTGTACCTGAGCTTGGAATATGAACATTACTGCAAAGATCATTCCAATTCTGAATAAGAGGATCAGTCTGAGAAGTCCGATTATACTCAGAGGTGTGAAGTTTAGCATAATATCTTAATCCCCAATTAATGATGATTTGGCATATTGTAGTCTCACCTTGTCTGCACTATCTTCTGCACTGCTTCAGGACTTGATAAAAACCTGGCTGAACTAAGGCAGAGGATTTGAGATCTAGGTATCCAAAATGACAAAGTCAAAGTCTCCCATCCCTTTTATAGCACAATTGCTCCTCTTCTCTGGACTGTCCCTAGATATATCTTTAACATCTTATATACTCCACAGAGGAGACTATTTATGTTGGCCCAAACTGGGACACCACCTATTAGGGAAACAGTTGGTAGATATATAAGCCTCCCATATGAAAGCTGAACTTGTTTTACATTGATTCTATCAGTCTCTGGAACTTCCCACAGAAAAGCCAGGCATCAACCAATCAAACATTTATACAATACAAAATGTATTTCCCTAAAACAAATGTTTGTCTAAATGATCCTAACTGATCCTTTTCACCAGGGTGACTCTAACAACCAACATCCTTAGGAAACTAAGTAATACCCTAGAACTCACTATTCCTGATCACTAGATCTAAGCTCTCTGGCCTAGCCAGCCTGATCTGTACCCCAGTTTTCAGGCTGATCTCTCCCTCTGCACAGATTTAGGCTGCATAATTCATTAATGTCACCTGGCGATAGGACTGTCCCAAAGGCAGGATTTGTTGTGAAATTCCATCTCCCAGATCTGCACACACTGTCACCTCTCATGTTTTTCAATTAAGGCCTCTTGTTTAGCCCAGAGAGACAATAAATCACTGCCAGACTGTGTCTTCAGATTCATCCTTGTTTTGCATTTACAAGCTAATTCTTTTAAAGAAATGCAGCCATCTGGACAGACGCTTTGCCAGTCCCACAGTTCAGCTTAATGCCTTTCAACCTTCTCTCTTCTTCCTGAAGTTGCCCTTGTCAAAGGTTCAGCTGTGCAGAATCCTAACCCAACCACACATCTAAGAATTCAGAGCTGTAGAAATTCTTAAATGGGATAATTCTAATGGCAATTTCTAAGTGTTAAATGTCTTTTCTGGACTGTAATATTCAATGTGAAGCCTGCATGTTTGAATGTTCCCTACAATTCTCTCTCCCACACACATTCAGGAAAGTCTCATACAGTGAAAAACAATTAAATCATTCTCCCTACATGATTATTTTTATAATGGAGAGTCCTAACATTCCCTCCCCCAGGGCCTGATGGGATCTGCAACGTCAGAGGCTACTTTGAACACAGAGAGTTCAATTGACCACATCACCAACATAAGTGATCAATAAGCAAGACACAGCAGATGAAAAGCACAGCCTGCTAAGCTGAGTGCACGGCTTCCAGAGAGTCCCCCTTTTTTGAGAGGTGGAAAGTCCAACAGGTTAGCAGAATGCTTAGTCTTGGCTCAAGGCCCTTTTCCTTAGATAGATGGACCTCTCACGAATATGTATCTAGATGACACAGTCTTCTTAAACCATTGAAAAATTTGAACAAAAAGTTCCAGTTACTGCTATGAGAGAGTCAGAAAGTAATCTATTTAACAGCCCATAGGTGGGAAAGAGGAGTCAGTAGGAGGAACAAAATGGGTAGAAAAAACACAGTAATAACAACAGATGAAATAGTGCATGCATTTGGAAGATAAGCACCAGAGAGATTTGACAAGACAATATTGGGCCAAACATCTTAGGGGTGCATTTGTGGTGGGTTGGGAATGGGTGGAAAATGACGTCTGTTCCCACATTCAAGAAATGGTAGATGGCCTATTCTGATGATAGGGCAAGCAGAAAGTGAGCATCTGGCTAAAGCCAACCTTATCAAAATATTTTCCTTATGCTCCAACTCATTCTAGTGCAATTTAAAAGCAAAGCATCCTTTTATGCTGAAAACATATTGCCTCTTACAGTCCATTCCACCTCCTTCTTCCTTTAGAAATAACCTGTACCCTCTGGAGTGGTTATTGCATTTTTGCTTCAAAGGAAACCTGTACTGATTTCTTTTGTATGCCTAGGTTTCATTTTAAGAGGCACAGCAGATAGAAAATCTGAAGTTTAAATTCTCTTTGTAACTCCTCTATCCCTTATAGGCTCCACCCTGACAACATCTTTCCACCAATTGAGGATTGATAACAAAACCTGACTTACGCTCCTGGCATTTGCAAACTGAAAAACCAATTTATCTTGATTCAAGCCTGACCCTTTGAAGCAAAAATGGCGTGGCTGCCTGCCAGGTCCAGGAAGACTAAAAATAACCTCTTGCATTAGTCACAAAACAGGAACAGATTCCCTTTTTGCCACACAAAAATCAATCACAAAATACTACCAGTAAGATCCTAGTTTAGAGCAATCATATCAAGTATCTCCACAAAAGCAACATGAAAAAAGGTACCCATAAGCCACAATGAAACAGTGGCAGCAGCATCTCACATGTATTATTTCAGTGATCTCTTGGGCATTATCCATCACATATATCTGTCTGAGATTACACACAGATTTTGGAAGAACTGTTAACCTTCCTGTAACTAGCATACTTCAAATGGTTATCTAGGAATTCATAAATATTGGTTTTCTAATTGTGCAGAGCTATTCAAAATCTGCTAGAACTAACAGAACTTCTTGGCGGGTGTTCCTCCCTCTGTGTAGCAAGTGTGCCTAGACCCAGCTCCAAATGAATCCCTCTAGCTCCTGAGACCAGCACAACAGATACCAAGATGAACATTGTCATCCAGCATTAAACAGTACCCTGTTTAATGCTG